TATTTCAGACATAAATCGATCAAACAATTTATATAACAATTAATATTCAACTTCAATTATTGTATAACGATATTTATACTCCACATAGAGTAATAGATTATGTAATAAATTACAAATCTGTGTAAATTTCGCATTCTAAATACCCACATTTCTGACGAACCAACGTGCTTTTGTTGAAATTTTAAGATTTCTTAATAGCAAAACAAACAATTATCAAGAATATTTTGGCAACATATTCATGTTCCAATTTCATATCAAATCAAATTTCTTCTCCTTTAGACAAATTTTGATTTTTAGGCTTTTATTTCAAATCACATAAATATTATTATTTTATTATAATACTGCGTCTATTTTACCATACTTTTACTAGTATATATTTTATAGTAATTTCACTTCGACTAATTGTAAGTGCATTTATTAGAAATTGTTACTCTTTAGTAAGTTCTAAATTATGTTCTTGCAAATTGAATACAAGAACTTACAAAAATTATATAATCTCTGGAAAAAACATTTGATAATAAGTTATTACCATGTTTTGTTGATCAAAATATTGAATATAAATTATATATAATTATATATGCAAAGATTTTAGTTTTTGGAGCCATTCAATTATGGGAAGAAGTTCTGGAGGAAGTAAATTCTAAATATTTGACATTTATGCCATATATGCCTATTACGGTGGTCTTTAAATGGACATTTTTGAAGTTCCTTATTCCCAAATGCTCAAATGGTTCCAAATTGATAAAAACAATTCTCTGAAAGTTTTAGCTCTTAATATTGTCTTTTAGATAGAGCGCAATTCAATCAAAGTTTTGTATGGAAATGGCATGAAAAAATAATCAAAAATTTTGCAGAGCGTCAAATTTTCTATAAAAAGTGACACGAATTTTCACTTTTAATTTATTTGTCGCTAAGTTATACCTAAAAATTTTTTTTTAATTCTCAAAAATTTTTTTATGCTATTTTATACAAAACTTTGATTGAATTGCGCTCTATCTAAAAGACAATATTAAGAGCTAAAACGAGAATTAAAAATAGAATTGCTTTTATCAATTTGGAATCATTTGAGCCCTGGGGAGCAAGAAAATTCGAAAATGTCCATATTAAGGACCACCCTAATATATATGCAACGATTTTGTTTTTGGAGCCAATAGGAGGAAGTGTTTATTTTTCATAATTATTTATAAATTCAAATATTTGGCATATGCAAAGAGCACTTGCTTATGGTACACGGTAACATTGTTTATTAACATTGTTTATGGGGTTCATTCTTATATTTAATATGTTAAATAGAACTGGTGTCGAAGTTGCATTTCATTTACTATCGACCATAATACTATTTAGCAATCTCTGCTCCTTGTTTAGTATAACCATATCGAAGAATTAAGTTGACTAAAAAATGACCATTGTCAACTATGGAATAGCTCAATCCTTGAAATAAAGTTTTACAATCGGGGCAGAACAGTACAATATTGCAAGTCTAAAAAGAACTCTGTAACTATTCGTCAAGCTCTATAATATATCTGAAACCACGTAACTTACCTGTCTTTTATGCGCGTCGGGCATGGTGAACGTGGACGTGACCCAGCAAAAGGTATTGACGACATGCACTGGTATGCCGTTGACTATGCACTGGATGGGGTTGCCGACGAATTGGGTCGCCGTGATGATCATACTGCATGTCAACAGAATTGCTGTGGTGAATAAATTGTGCAATCTGAAGACGGCATTGTCAGTCTTAATGTCTTGGACTTTGAAATAGTCCTTCAAACCACCCAAGAGCCGATACATCTTGGATGAATGAGTCTTTGTACTTTACAGATCGTTAGGAGTTGAAGAGACTTTAATAGATGCAGTACGTTGACTTTTCTGAAAGAAAAAAATATTATCTGTAGAACTAGCTATGATTTCGAAAATATAGAGGCAAAGAAATGAATATTAAAACACAATAAAAGCTGTAATTTTTTTACAAATTTCAAGAAAACTATACGGAACGAAAAGCCCAAAGAGACAAATATAAATATATACAATACTATAAATATAGACAAAAGAGCCCTATATAATATATAAATTGAAACCATTAGTAATTTACATTTTGACAGAAGCAAATGCAGAAAAAATAAATTGCATTGTCATACGTTTACGATCAGATTCTAAAGCTCTGGTGTTAGATTTTCATTGATATTGCAGCGATTTGCATGAAAACTGTAATACGTTTGGTCGATACCCAAAATGTTTTTTTTTATAAAATATAGAGCCAAAGAAATGAATATAAAAACACAAAAAAGCTGTAAATTTTTTACAGATTTCAAGAAAACTATACGGAACGAAAAGCGTTTGAAAAATATCTGTAAATTATATTTAAATAGAGGCTAGGTTTATAATAACTTACAGCAATATGTATCATGGAATTACGCGAGTTTTTAGGAGGAGGGGGGGGGAGGTCTAAAAATTACGAAATATCACTTCTATTTATTTTTTACCTGATTTTTTCAAAATAAATCAAAATATTTCAAATAAAAAAAATTATCTGAAAATGCACGTGATGTTTAGTGGGGGCGGTGGTAATCATCAGATATCATCAAGGGGTGGGGGGAGTCTAAAAATCCTTAAAAAAACGATCAAGTGATTAATGGACGCCCACTGTATATTAAAAATCTGATAATATTAGTATTTAGACTTTCATAGAAGCAAATTCAGGAAAAATTAATTACATCGTCAAACGTTTACTACCAGATTCTTAAGCTATGTTGTTAGATTTGCATTAATATTATTGCATGAAAACTGTAATGCGTTTGGTCGATAGCAGTTCCAAAACTTTTCTTTGTTTATTTATTTGTTTTTTTAATCACAAATTAGAACTGAGAGTTCTATGAACTACTTCGCTCAAATATTTCCCTTTATGGAAGGCAACCCAACGGTTGTTTTTAGTGATAGTTATGATATATTTTAATTTATTGCATCGTTGTCTGGAATGGCTATTTTCACTTGATACAATATTAGTTGATTTACATTTTCAAGTGAAATTGGAAATGACTTCTAGTTGATATCACATGATCGCTTTTGATTCTATAAATTTCAGCAAATTGCAACAATAATATTGTCGTTGTACAGAGAGAGTACAACGCAATAATAATATCATTCTTTCTGAAACTATGCGGAAGTAAGAATTTGCATTCTGTACGCATTTTTTCATATAATATTAACCGTCTATTATCTTTGAAATAATATGAACTTCAAGAATTTGCATTTCCAAAATAAATAAAAGCTTTCCAACAATTCCTAACTCGTTTGGAACTATTTTTTCTCCTAATATTTCAGGGTACAAAAATAATATTTCATAAACAACTATATCAATACAGACAATTTATATTTAATAGTATGAAAGAATTTAGTATGATTGATAATGAGAGTCATGTATGTAGTATAGTTTGACCTCAGCGTAATTGCTTCAATAACAGCCTAATATTCTGATACATGATCGTTCTACATCAGTTCACAAAGTAACAAACCCAAATTCATGTAAAAAATATTTTTTTTATTAAACTTAGAGCGTGTTATTCTTCTAATTAAAAACGAGAGTAAACCAAAATATAAAAAATATGTAAATATTTTTTTTGAATGCGAGAATTTTTAATGAATTGTTTTACTGGAGTTACCTACTTAATGTACAATTTAATTAAACCATTTAGAATTATTTAAAAAAATTATTTTTCTTAGTCATGCACCTCTAATAATATACGGTACGTTAGTTTTTCTTTTCTGTTCGAGTCATTAACTAATTATTAGTCGATTCAGACGATGTGATAATTAATTGTAGACGCATGCAAACAGTTGCATAATTGCATAATTGACAGATATAATTGAATGAATATGTTAAAATTAACCTTATATAACAATTCATAGTTTAAAGTATTTGTAGTATTTGTAATTCAAGTATAGCATTAAAACTACAAAAAATATTGACGGAAAATACTTGTATAAATAATCTTGTCAGCTGTAATTTCATATGCACAATCATGATGACTTCTATGGCGTTTCTATGAGATCATCTCTTGTAATTAAATTGATGCATTTGATATTGAATTATGTTGGAATAAAAGCGATTGTCTGTGTTGTTTCAATTAGTTTACATTGTAAATATATTTTATTTAAACATATTTGATTAAAATATATATGAACAAATGGCTTTGAAAAATTAAGAATTTGAAGTTCAATTATCTGGTGTCATAACTTTTATAAAACATGCGTGCTTATATGTAAAGTGTAAATTTTTTTTTTGTTTTTTTTTATTTTTTTATATTCATCTGAACGATTTTAAGAAAATTTACCAACCTTGTTCTGTACTGCAATGGTCGTTTGTCTTTATTCAGTTCAATGCCACCGCGACAATCTCTTCTGGATTTCTCTTTTAAAGTTTAAAGCCGTCGATCCACGTTGGTTATCCTCGATTACACACAAAATAAAACGAAACACAAACAGACCGACACTTTTTGTTCCGCTTCCTTTTGAACATTAAAAAATCACCGTCAACTTTTCTCCATTTTAATAAAAAATATTTTCCGAACAGATTCACTTAAATTTTAGTTTTTGTTTTATTACTAAACTAAAAGCTCGCAGTGGGCTTTCGAAAGCTCACGCTCTCGCTTGTTGCACAATTCGCGCGCGATGCGTCACCCTCGTTCGAAAATGCGATGTCAACCCTCGAATATTTTGGTATCGTTTTGCGCGCGCACACACTCAAAACACGTTTTTTTGACGTTTTTACGACGTTATTCCTTAACCCGCGTCCGTCGTTCGTCTGCGAGCGCGGCGCTGCCGTAGTTTTCGCTTTTCCCACCACACTACGTTTCGGACTTTACGTTTGAGTTCGTCAGAGGAGATCGTCGGTTAACTCTCTTTTCACACATAAATATCGAAGCCGTGCCGATTATTGAAAAAATAGAGTTTAGATGTTACAAATTTAATTTAACACGTTTGCTGACTGTAAAAGTTCCGGCAAGGTACAAAAACTGACAGTCATTTTATCTTAAATTGATTGTGATATTCGAAATTTGATTAAACACCGTTTGTAACGATAGTCAGATTACGTTATATAGCGATAAATGTTGTAGCATCTACGTCAATTATTTTGCTTCTATTGTACGCAATTTGCTTGCTTAAGCTAAATGTTGACTTTGGGAAAAAATAAAATAATACAAAAATACCTAATGAATCAGTTGGCCATTATCATGATAGGTGTAATAATTACAAAAACGTAAGATTAGAAGGCGTCCATTAATCACGTGATCGATTATACCCCTTTGGGATTACGTGGTGATATTTAAAATTGCTCTCCCTCCCCACCAAACATCACGTGTATTTTTAGTTACAGTTTTTTTTTAAATTACAGTTTTTTTTCAAATGTTTGGATGTTTTGAATAAAAAAATAGGAAAAAATTAATGCACGTGATATCTTTCTATACCCCTTCTTCCCCCACGTAATAATTCGTGATTTTTTGTCAAAGCCCCCCCTCCCCCTAAAAACCTTAGGTGATTAATAGACTCCCTCTTATATCAAATTAATTTCAAAATAATTGGCATTCAAATTTGAATGCTATAGCATTCACGTCCATCTGCATCACAATGAAAATGAATGAACGTGTTAACTTTTTTTACATGTGAAACTTACTTTCCAACAATATTTTTTTTATGTTTCTGACATACCAATATGGATAAAATAGTATATAATGGATGCTTTATCTGAGGACAGTTTCGTGAGCTTAGTAAAACTCCAACTCGATTTAGAGCGAAATAGGTACCATGCGATTTTGAAATCAGATGTGGTTGCAATTTTAATCAAAATACCATCAATACAATTAGATCTAGGGACTATTCCGTATAATTAAAAATTGGGCATAGTGGTATTTGTATTCTGAAATTCTACATAATTTGCTATGATATGATAATATTTGGGGAAAACATTTTTTTTTAACATTAATGAACATTGGTTATTTTTTTTATCGAAATCACTGTGGTAATCAAATCTGGAATAATTGGGTAAAAAACCAATTGTGTTTAGTGAAATTTTTATAAGCTAACGTAACTTTACGCAATTACATATGACATAACTTTTTTTACTTCTGTTTTATTTAGCAATCAGAAATACATAAAGATTTCTATGAGCTAAATTGACAAGATTTGAGAGCGGGGTCCATCCATAAAGGGGCGTCCATCAATCACGTGAGTTTTTAGGGATTTTTGGACCCCCCTCACTCTTGGTGATACATGGTGATATTCAAAATTACCCCTCCTTCCCAAACAAACATCACGTGTATTTTCAGTTACGTGATAAAACTGAATTTTTTTAAATTTTTTGAAAATGCTTGAATTTTTTTAAAAAAATCAGTTTTAATATAAACACACGTGATATCTTACCATACCCCTTCCTCACCCATGTGATATTTCGTGATTTTTTGTCAAATCGTCCCCTTCCCCTAAAAATCTCACGTGATTAATGGACGCACAAAAGTAATTTTTTACTTCATCCAATTTTGCATAAGATTAAAAATGATTACACCAACACGTATGCTCAATTAAACTTTATTTTATATTTTTCGAAATGAGTTGTGGCGAAACTATTGCTAAGAAATAAATGATTTTTTTTACAATTATACGAAATCATATATTTAGCTTAAAATCGGATCATTTTTAAAACATTCCTAGTGAATTCTGCAGGCTACTCAACTACTGTCAAAATATACATAATTTACAATTATATGATTTATACATAAATAATATGATTGTTTCTCTGAACAAGATTGTTCAATATAA